GCAGTTACAAAAATCCAACATTTCTCAAAAATCCAATAAAATTACAGTAAAAAGTCACTCTGACGAACCGATAAACAGCCAAGGATGCGAAGCAAAATTCAAAACGCCGAATTTTCGTAATCCATGCTCAAGGACAGGTTTCAGCGCTGAAGCCAAGCGTCCACGAATTTTTTCGGTTATTTCAGGACAAACTGCTTCATCGCCGTAAATTGTGTAATCAGGCCCACGGTCATCTACTACCTGGAAGAATAAATTTAATTGCAAGTTGCTTCGCACGCACAGCGCTAATGCACTTTCAGAAACTGATAAAAATGGTCAATGATCAAATGATAAGAGAACATTGATTGCAATGAAAGTGGACCTCAACGAATTTTGCGGGGAACCAGCCCCTCAATCCATTCAGTTCACCAATCCAGCAGTGCTCATCTTTTTCACAAATTACATCTATAATATCGTTCTTCCTGCAACTGTCTAATTTCGCTCGAAATAAGAGATTCAGTCGACAAAAATAAAAGCTATGAAACTGAAAATTTTTTCCAAACATAGTTCAGTGTGAAGTAACAAAAACGCTTATCTGGAATTTGATCGGATTGCTTGGATTTTATCTTAAGGAATGAACTTGTTATTTAACAAAACAATAAAACAACTTCAGTGTCTAAGACTATTTTGGAGAACCGATGGATGGAACATGTAGCAGTTATCTCAGAACAAGATCCTCTCACCAGAAAGATGCCAAGAAATGCAGAGTCTGACAATTCAAAGATTCAACCAACCTGAAACCCAGCTCATCCTCATCCTGGCGCTGAAAATCCAGCAGTGCTCGAGCACGGCGATAGCCACGACGCCGAGAATTCAAAAATTCCTCCTTTTCATTTTGCTGGCCATTCAGCGAATAGTCAGCCTAGAACGGATCTGTGGCATCAAATTTAACTTTGGCACCTTCGAATCTCCACCCCTTTATTTATTTGCAAAAGGAATCCTTAATGAATTATGCAAAGAAAGTTGAAAAAGTGAAAATGAAGCCAAACCAAAACCTGCAAATTGATGGCGCTTCCCAGTGATTCATCACAGTCAATGAAATATCTGCAGATATGCAAAACAGCATCTCGCAAATCGACGATCAGCTCAGTTAGCCGAACATTTTTCAGTTTTGGATCGCTCTCCACATTCTGGAAGTTCCATGCAGAAAATAAATTTTGCTTCCAGTAATATTTTTTGCGAAAACGTCTTTGAAAAAAAACGGCTCTGGGCTAATTTTAATTGAATTATCAAAAATCAAATAAAAAAAAAATTGGCCAACGCACGGGCTGCCCGTGCGAAGATGCGTTTTTTGCATGGTTCCCCGCA